GCTATAGAAAAGAGAGAATCAAGGAAAACAAATAAGTGAGAGGAAAAAATATATAAAGTAAAAAATAAAAAAAAAATAAAAGAATACAAAAACAAAATTGAAATACACTAATCAAACATCCTGGTCCTCAAAGTACTGGCTTCAAGAATACTAGAAATGAGAGAAAAAAAACAACTCATCTATGAATATGTATAAATGTCCATGTTCTGTAAGGACACAATTGAACAGAGAAAAGAAAATAAAATCTCAATGAAAAGTTAAAGAATTGTTTCCACTGAAGTTCAAATGATTCTCAGTTTTCCTTCTCAGAAGTATTAGGTGAGGTGGTCTGAAGTGTGATGCTTGCTCCACCCTCCTGATGGGGTTGCTGGAGTGAGAGAGGTGATCCTGTAGGCAGAACTCCTGGAGGTAGGGTTTTGGCTTAGGTAGGCTCCAGGTTCTTGGTTCTTTGTTGAAGGTCAATTGGTTGGTCTGAAGATTCTAAATCAGCGCACCTCCAGGGCCCAGGAATTGCCAGTCCATGCTAGAAGACTTCACCCAGGGACCTCTCCTGGGTTCCACTCCTGTGGTGGAGGAGCCAATTCCTAGTTCACTCTATCACCTGTGGACCCCACATTTTCTGGTCTCAGGTTTAGTCTCCAAACTCAATCTCTCCCCTGACACCCTTTTGAATTCCCAGCCAGGTGCATCTCTCCCAGTCGCTCCTACAAGCAGCTGGGTTGGAGAGGGACGGGGAGAACCAGTTGGGCTTCCATGACTAGTAGTCTCTTAAGTAAATCCCTCTCCATGTTTGATCTTCACCTGGTCACTTAGGCACACTCTATGTTGGCAGTGCATTTGCCAGGTCTGTATTTTGGGCCAAATTTGGGTTTGCCATGAATTGGCTTCTCCAGCTGCTGGCCCCCATGCTGTGGCTACAAAGTGGTTCCTTCCTGTGTCCTCTGAAAGCACTCGGGAGAGATGCATCTTCTTTCCTGCACAAAGATATTGTGCAGAATGCTTTTCAGTTTGGTTGGGTAGTGTCTTTGATCTCTGATCTCTCCTTACCCAGACACTCCTCAGGCCTCCTAAAAATGTGGGTTCCTTTAATTCCCTTATCCCTCGAGTTTGCTTGTGGTGGGGCTGCTCTGGCTGGTGTCTCTGGCCACGGTAGTGGCGGTGGCACTTGGGATTTCTTCCTTATTTTATTACATCCAGCCTCCTGAGTCCCCAATCTGCTTTGAGTATCTAGTATTAAATCCTGGTAAAGCCCCCCACCAACTCTTTTTACCCACTTTGCTGAGAAGCTGACTGTCTGCTTTCTTAGTTTCACTCTACCTTCTCTATTTCACCATCCTGAATCCTTATATCCTATTTTATCCTTAAAATAATTTTATCCTGAAACTTCAAACTCTTCAATATCTTGAATAATTGATTTTATTTATAAGCTAAACTAAATTACCTTATTTTTTTAACTCCCTTCAGTTATTCTACTTTTCTTGGTAGGTTAATAAGAAAAACAGCATCTAAGTTATCAGTTTATTAAAGTTTAATGATGTAAGTTGATATCACTGAAACATATTCTCTAAATATAAGGGAGAATTACAAATACCAATCCAACTCTATGAGTGCTGTGTTTTCACAATGGTGACACCCTTTTTGTGACATTCTTGTTTGGATCTCTGAACAAGATTGGAGAAGGCTGATTCTGGTTAGACCCAGGCACTATGTTTAAGAAACAATAGGTGCAAGCCAGTCAATGGGGGGATTAGGCCCATGTTTGGGTCTCTTCAGAATGCCTGTATGCTAAATAAGTTGAGATAAATAGCCTTGGCTATTGAGCCATTACACACACACACACACACACACACACACACACACACACACACATACTTTCTGATTTACTTGTAGAAAAAAGAGTAAGGTAGAATGTGTCAAATTTTTCACAGCAAGTAAAGCGTATTAATATTAAGGCTAGATGCAAAAAAAAAATCAGTTGATGTGGTTGATATGTTTTAACAATACAGAAAGTGAAACTTGGGACTGGGGTTGTAGCTCAGTGGTACAGTACCTGCCTACCATGCACAAGGACCTGATGGGTCTTATCCCATCACTGAAACAAAACAAAACAAAACAAAAAAACAAAACCTTACCAGGAGAGAAGAAACATTTTGACATAATATACAAAATACTGCTTCTCTCATTATGATTGTGACTTTGAAAGGGATTATACACTTCAAATAATTTTCCTTCTACAGCCCCCCCACCATATGGAACATATGGTTTAAAAATAGAAGAAAACCAGTTCCTTTTCCCAGTTAAAATAAGAAAAGGAAAGCCTTGAGAATGGCAAACCACCTTCTCTGTGAAGACTGTCTCCTTGCAGATCTGGCTTTCAGTTCATGCTTTCAATCTCCACCCTGTGCTGCTCAGAGGACTCCACAGGCCCTGTCAACAACCCTCAGATGGCTCAAATGCAATGATGCCTGTGTCAGAGAAGATGACATTCTGCTTCTTTCATCTATTTTAGTGATAGGCAAATATGGCAAGAATTACAATATATGTATTTATTACATTATTCATTTTATTATTTAGCTTCTGTCAGCTTAAGGTTAAACAATGGAAAGGAATAGAATTCATGAGAAGAATGTTAGTGAATGTAGGCAAACCCAATTGCAATTTGAAGATTTTTATACATCCAACTCATTTGCAAAGTTGCTTGCGGTTACCAAAAGTCTTCTAGACACAGGAAACTTAGGCATATTGCCTTATAATTTATCATAAATTCTTCATGTGCCTGAAGAAATTCTTCATAAATTTTAAGAAAATTCAAAATTTCCATTTAATATTCTTTTTTCCAAATAATATAAAACCAGTTTCTCGGAGTTTTCTCACACGGCAATACCTTAATCTTCCAATTATTTTTGTTTAATCAGTTTCAATGTGGGGTCTACAGATTTCTACATATTTAATAAATTGAATTAATTTATGGAAGTACAGAACATAGATTTAGATGCTTAGCAAATATCTGAAAAATGTTTAGTCGACTGGATAATTATAAAGAATAATTAGAATCATAGAGGATATCAGTCTCAAATCCATTTTAAGGTTTCCAAAAATTGGTTGTAGATTTTTTTAAATAAGTAATAATAATAATAATTAGTGACAACCCTTATTTAATCTTCTTGCCAAAATTAATATTTTGTAGCTGGGCACTGTGGCACACATCTATAATCCCAGTGACTCCAGAGACTGAGGCAGGAGGATTGCAAGTGTAAAGCCAGCCTCAGCAACTTAACAAGGCCTAAGCGACTCAGCGAGACCTTGTCTCTAAATAAAAAATATTTTTTTTAAAAAAGGATGGGGATGTGGCTCAGTGGTTAACTGCCCCCGGGTTCAATTCCTAGTACCAAAAATAAAAAAAAAATAATTAGTATCTTATAAATTTTAGAATGATCATAAAACTTTTTCTTTCCTTCTTCTTCCTTCCTTTCATATTAAGGATTGAACCTGGGGTGTTTTTACCACTAAGCTACATTCTTAGTTCTTTTTATTTTTATTTTGAGACAAGGTCTTGCTAAGTTGCTGAGCAAGGTTGGTCTTGAATTTGTGATCCTCCTGCCTCAGCCTCCTGAGTTTCTGGGATCACAGTCATGCATCACCACGCTCAGCATAAACACTGTTTAACAAGATGGAACTATCCCAGTAATAGATAACAGGTGTAATTCCAATTTTTAAAATGCCATTAATGCAATAATTTATTTAAAATCATTCTTTGTACCTCACAAGGACAGCAGGTTGGTTAGAAGAAAGTACATTGGATTACAGATAAGAAGATTTGTATTACAGTGTTAGTCCTGTTAACTTTCTAGGCTAGTCACCTACTGCAAATCACTTAAAATTCCTGAGCTTTGAGTTCTCCATGTATATCATTTATTTTGTTTGGCTCCACTGCTGGGCTGTAAAAAACGTGCATGTAGCATTCAGGTCTGGTGCCCACTTCACCTGCAGCCTCCTGCCAGTTCCCGACATGGCAGGCCCTCCACTGACGTCTACTGGCCGACTGCACTAACATTAGAAAGTGAAAATGTGAGCACTATCACACATGCCCTGGAAGACCATGGAGGTCTTAAATGATAGAGTGATATTTGGGGAAATGGGTACACTCTCCACATTTATATCCTTGGTACCTAATTTAAGAAATTTTAAGAAGTAAATGTGTTAATAATTGAAAGTTACTTGATAATTTTAATAATCATAAATTATTTCAAATCACTACAGATAATATAGCAATAAATATTCTAAAAAGTAGGCCACTTAAAGGATCAGAAGAATACCTTTATTGCTTTATATCAACAAGATTTTGGAAATAAAATAATATGTGATTTTTCAATACCACAGGCAAATTCTCTAAACAAATTCAGATAAAAAAGCCAAATGTGAATTCCCTATAACAGCCATAATATGTAACATCATACCCTGTTTTTAAAAGATAAGCAATTTACATGTATTAATGTATATATATATATATAAAAAGAAAAATCAACCTATAAATTTGTATATAACATAGATGTATATAAATACTTGGAAAAGGCCTTAATGATACTCACCTAACTAATAACAGTGGTTTTCTTCTGGAGAGGGGAATGAACTGCATAAGGGTAAACAAGGACTTTTGCTTTATTGGTGCTGCCTGAATTTTCTCATAGTAGGAATGAGAAAAAAGACAGATGAGAACATATCACCCATCCAGAGAATCCCCTAATATATAAAGGGTAATGATCTGCTTAATTTAATACAAATAGGGAGAGAGTTTTTGTTCTTGCAGGGAGGAAGTACTTTTGTCTTCAGTATCACCACATTTAGTTATTCTTTCATAGAATGGGTGAAATAGTTTCCCTATAGAGAAGGAAAAACTCAATGGTGAAAGCACTGATATGTAGTTAGAATCTATGATCTAGATATCTAATATTACACATTAGATAGCATACTACCCCCCCACCCCCCGCAAGTTAGAAGGATTAAGGAAAAATAGATTCTTTCGATACATATAGTGGTAACGGGAAACTAGTAATCAAGGATTACAATATAGCCTTTGAATATTCTATTAAATAAATGAGTTAAAGTGTTATCTTTACTTGTTTTATTATTTTATCACAATTCACTTGCTCAGTTCATTAGACAAAAAGACATGTTGACTAAATACAACGTAATTTCTAGTTCCCGAGGGGCCTGTGCATCATTACCTGATTGTTATTGTTGACTTGCTTCATGGCTCCCAAGCTCCCCCTGCTGCTGATGGGTCTTCCTTCCCTAAGGTTTTCCTCATTTCTGTGTCTTCCTCCGGCTCCAAGAGCACTCCTTCTTCCATAAACCTCCTTTCCTGGGAATAGGACCTTCTTCCATACTGTGTTCCTTGTAGGTAGTCTGTGCCCAGCAATGGCTCCTGGGTCTGTGGTATGTTTGGATCATAACTCCCCAGGGTTTCTCCCATTACTCTAGGATCATAAAATCCCTCTGATCTTAGAGAAGGATATCTGTTGTCTTTCTGCTCATAAGTATTCAGTCTCCTTTCAACCACTTCCCGGATCAACACTGCAAAGTTCAGAAGTCATTATGATTTTTATATTTTTGATGAGTATAAAACATTCACCAGGCCCCCTCCTTCCTATATCATAACCTTTAAAGTCTTAACTTCCTCACCATTTTATATACTGAATATAAGTTATATTCTTTGCTTGTTTTAACAGAACACCACTTATAAAACAGTGACAACAGGAGATATTAATACTAATAAAATTACACACAAAAAATTAAGGGCAAAAATTGGGCCTTTGTTAATATAATGAATAGATTTAAAGTTTAAGTAATATAAAATTAGAATATTTCTTTCATTTGTTTGTCCACTGAAAATTTTAGAGATGACTCATAAAAACAATAAAAGAACTTACTGTCAAGCACTGTTCTTCCCACCATGCTATATTCCATGGTTTTTTCAACTTCATTCATTAGCCATGGGAGAAATCCTATTTCAATATCTGTAAAAAGGAAATTGCATGAAGTCATTTTAAAAATTTTAAAAATTTGTTCTCATTAGTTATACATGACAGTAAAATGCACTTTGATACATCATACATAGATGGAGTATGATTTCTCATTCTTCTGGTTGTACATGATGCAGAATCCCACCAATCCTATAGTTATATATGTACATAGGGTAATAATGTCTGACTCATTTTACTATCCATCCTACCCCATAACCCCTCCCCCTCTCTTTGCTCCCCTCTACCTAAAGTAACTCTGTTCTTCCTCAGCCTTATGGATCATTATAAATAGGAAGAAAGTGCTTTTCCCCTAATGTAACAGATTTATCACCATTGTTTTCTCAATAGAAAATATTAAATAGACTTATACAGCATAACTTTTGCAAAGGCTATGTGTTTTGGTCAGTTTCCTTTCTATCAAAGTGGAAGTTATATTTTAAAAACTATGAGGCCTTTCTTGGAGTCACATAATTTAAACTTTGCTTAATAGGTGCAATGTCAGACAGATCAAGGAGGCACAGGAAAATGTGGTTTTGGCAGAATCCAGTGAAATGTGATGCACATCTGGGATTGAGCATTGCCAGTAAAACAAATGCCCCCAGTTGAGACTCCTGGCATAATGGAAGCTGATTGAACTCAGAGGATGCAGGTTAGAGGGCAGCCATCTAGAAATGGGTAAGAAATTAGGTGTTTGCATTAATAATATGTTTGTTCTGACTGAAATTGAAATATACTGTGTAAGCATTTCAAAAATATGGTCCATTATAATATGCATGTTAAACCTTGAAAACAGCTTTTTTGGGAGGCAGGCATTTAATTGGTATTTTTCAATAGTATGACAGTGGAGAGTTTGTTAGACTATTATATTTGCTATTATAAATAATTGAAATCTCAGGCATGAATTTCATTTGCAAATTTTACCCAATGTTTACGGCAACCCATGATAGGGAAAAAAAGCTACTGTTTTTTGTGACTAATAGTAGGAGGCCTGACATGAGCCCAAAAGGCAGGACGGCAGCACAGAGAGAACAGTGGGTCGGAGTTGGAGTTTCAGGCCAGTGTGAGAGCCATAGTAAGCTCCCAGGAACAAGGCTTTATCTTTCCTGAGCTTCCGTCTGTACTTCTGAGAAATGGCCATTATATCTGCCGTATCTCTCCGAGGCAGGACTGTATAGGACAGTAGGCTCTGAGGACAGGCCAACAGATGGCCCACACACTATAGGCTCTGAAAGCCAGAGACTGGAGTTCCTGTTACTTTTTTATTTTGTCTCCAATACCTAAAACAGTGCAATGCAAGCACCTAATTAAATGAAAGGGTGTCTTCTGTAGCGGCCCCCAAAGGGTTTCTGATTGGAATAGGGAATCAGCTGGGAAAAAGTTAATAATAAAAACTATTTGCACATATGTAGTGCTTTATAGTTTACACAAAGTTTCATATACTTTATGATATAATTCCTGAAAGGTCCTCATTTCAAGTCATGGAGGTAGTTAATGATGAACCTGGGATTTAAATTTTTGATATCAAGTCCACATTTCTACTATACAATGTTGCTTCTTAATAAAGAAGTCCTAGGGCTGGGGTTGTGGCTCAGAAGTAGAGCGCTCGCCTAGCATGCGTGAGGCACTGGGTTCCATCTTCAGCACCACATAAAAATAAAATAAAGATATTGTGTCCACCTATAACTAAAAAATAAATATATAAAAAAAGAAGTGCTAACACTCTACAATAAAGATCTTTATAGTACACCTTTTTTAAGATGGCTTATTTTAATTTTTGATACATAATTTTACTTAATTGCATGGTACTATAATACACCTCTTATCAGTAATAATGCTCACTTAAAACAACTATAATTAACATTTTTGTTTCAGAAATAGATCCTAATTCAAAATAAAAAATGGGCATGAAATAAATTTGAACCATTAAGAGGATGCTTATTAAAACAGAGTTAATCTAACAAAAATCTTCACAAACCTCTTTCGATAGGATCATAAAAGTAGCCACTATCCCTGAGACTGCCAAAAACAGATGGGAGAAGGTCGGCCAGATAACGCTGTGCAAATGCACGGGCAGAAATCTTTTGTGCTGTCTCGTTATGTTTGTTTATTATTTCCCACTGCTGCTGCTTACGACGTTCCTGTCAAGAGAAAAACATCATCAAAGATGGTTATTTAGGCATTCTGTCTTCCCGAGACATTGAATTTAGTGAAATCAATAAGTGAAAGAATTTGGACTTACCAAAAAGTGGACAGCAGGGTATCTATTAAAGATCTTTCATCAAGATTTTAATGAGTTTCAACTAGTGGGTACTGAGTTCAGAAAGATATGAAAGACGGAGTAAAACTCATTTCCTGATTATGATTATTTTATTCAAGTAAAATAATTTCATGATGGTTCTGGTTTGGCTATGAGATGCCCCCCAGATTTCCTGTGTTAACGCAGAAATATTTGGAGGTAAAATGATCACGTTATAAGATCTGTGGCCTAATCAATCCATCCTAATTTGGAAGGGCTCCTGTGCTGGTGGTAACTCTGGCCCAGTGAGACTTACTCTGAGGAGTGGGTCCCTGGGGACATTCCCTCCCCAACCCCTTGATCTCTCTCCTGCTTCTGGCCACCAGGAGCTAAGCAGCTTTCCTCCCCCCAACCTTTCAGCCATGTTCCACCACCTCAGCGCCATGAGGTCTACTGACTACAGATTAAGCCTCTGAAACGCCGAGCCCAAAATAAACTTTTCCTGCTCTAAGTTGTTCTTGCCAAATATTTAGGTCATAGCATGAAAGCTAACAAAACAATAAACTTGCTTGACTGTATAGATGCTATCAAAATGATATTAATTTTTTATAGTACTGGGGATTGAACCCAATGGGACTCTACAACTGAGCTATATCCCCAGCCCTTTTTATTTTTTACTTTGAGACAGTGTCTCATTAAGTTGACTAGGCTGGCCTAAAACTTGTAATCCTCAGTCTCAGCCCTCCCCAGTTGCTTGGATTACATAGTACCTGGCTATATTTCTTTTTCTTTCTTCTTTTGATACCAGGGATTGAACCCAGGGGCACTTAACCACTGAACCACATCCTCAGCCCTTTTTATTTTTTATTTTGAGGCGGGGTCTCATTAAGTTGTTTAGGGCCTCACTAAGTTTCTGAGGCTGGCTTTGAACTTGTGATCCTCCTGCCTCAGCCTCCTGAGCTGCTGGGATTACAGGTGTGTGCCACCATGCCTCACACCTGGCTATATTTTTAATTAGTATTATAGAATAACACTGACAGGAAAATTATAATTGCTTATAATTTTAAATTAAATATCATAGATCAATGAATAAACTCATGTGTAAAAATTCAATCCACAAAGCTAAAATGTTCTGAACTTGAAAGCCTCTTTTTTTTGTTGTTACTTTCTTTAGATCATATACCATCTGTAAAACCAGCGAACACACTTCTCTACTCCCAGGTGGGAGTGGGAGCAATAATATGTTTTCTAATTAAGTTTATTTCCAAAGTTTCAGCAATTATAGATCTAGATGACTTATGTTCTTGATTTTTCCATAATACACTTCTTAATAATAAATAAAAATTTTTGAGAAAGATTTCACTAATTAATTCCATAAAGGTTTTTTTCTGTCAGTGTTATTTTATTTATAAGAAAAGTTTTGCATTTGCACGATCCTTACCATAAACTGTGTGCTCTGTTAGCAATTATGCATTTTGGAGGAAAACTTGAGGTCCAGCTGATTAACTACTGAGAAGAATTTCCCAACAAACTGTTCTTCATCGTAAACTGGGCCCTTTGGGAAGTTATTTTAACTGGTTTAGGTACTCGGGCACTGCTTGTTAATTTGTTCATTAATATACAATAGAAGGTGTTCATAAGTATAAAATTATTGTCAGAATCGGACAGACACGTAAAGATTACTAAATCTAGAGTTACCTAATAGCAGGCTATTGGTACATTTTAAAAAACTGGGTTGTAGAATTTCTTTTATTAAAGTTATAATTTGCAAAATATTCAGTAAGGATCCAAGTAATTCTGGAATATCCCTGGGGATACAGAGAAGGACTGACCACTGAGAAAAAGACCCAGAATTCATCGACTTACGGCAAATCAATATCTTTCTGACTCCTGATATTTAAGAGTACCTTCCAGTTCAGACACATTTAATTTATGAACTTTCAATTAATTTGGGAACTTCTAGAATCTCAATTTAGATACATTTATGTAAACTGAAATTTTAAAATGTCAGTTCAAGAAATATTTATGATCTAAAGGAAAGACTTGAGCAACAAATACTATAGATTTTTAAAAAATATATTTAAATGTCTTTAGCTTTGTAACATGCCACATGTAATTTTGAACATAATACATTAAAGAGTCAAAAGATTAAGAGTGGCTGGGGGCATAGCACAATGGTAGAGGATGCACCTAACATGTGCAAGGCCCTTGGGCCCTTGCTTTAGTACACACACACACACACACACACACACACACACAACTGGCTAACAAAGAAAAATAGAATTCCATACTTTTTCTTCTCGGTGTCGTCTCTCTTGCTCTTCCAGTCGCTGAACTTCGGCCAGTTCCACATTCCGTATTTCTTCATATGCATGCTGACTGGCCTGCAGGTTGGCCAACTCTTCTTCTTCCATCACTTCCAGAAGGGCCTGCTCAATTGTCTTCCCCACCAAAACTTCTAACATTGGTTTAACTTCAAGGTCAAAGTCAAAAAGCTTAAACATACACACACACACACACACACAAAAAGTAAACAAAATTGTAGTTACTAACTAAATGCATCATGAAAATATAAAAAAATATTAACAACAGGGTATTATTGTCATGCTGTCCGTGTGCCAGAGTGCTGGTACTTGTGATTTCTAATTCTCAGAATAACCCTTAAGGTACACAGCATTGTGCTAATAGGCAAAAATCTAGTAAGTCAAATTATGAAAAAAGTATACATTCATCAATGTAAACCCTGATACTCAGTAACTTTAAGATCAAAGCCAAAAGGAAATATTCTGTCCTGGAGCCAAAGGGAATATTCTATCCTGTCCTTATTCTTTGCCTTTCCTGCTCATTTTTTCCTGGCTGTTTTTCATTAAAACTGATGAACAAAGGAACAAGAATATGAATATTTTAAGTAATTAATGTTCAGGGTTTGGAGGCAAAAACACCCTCCTCTGTAGCTTCTGAAAACTTATTTATTTCCCACTGTCAGTGACAGTTCTTTCAAGTTCCTTCAAGTCTTAAATCTCATTTATGCATATAATCATTGCCTTCTTTTCTTCAGTATCATAAACTGGTCTACTTATGCATTCCACATTGATGTGAAAATGTAATTAAGACTCTTCTAAACAGGGAGAGTATCTTCTTAAAATGTATATAATCCACAAGTTAAGAGTAGAATCTCTTCTATCGGGAATATTCGTCTTCCTTATTTGGTGCAAATCTGTCTTAAGTACATACATTAAGCACATATATAAAAAAATGAAACCAAATTATAAGTATTCTAAAATATTTCTGATGATTTTATTTCTGATAAGAGGATAAGTCAGAATATATTATTTAAAAATATTTCTGGGTACTTATAGGACAAACTATTTTAGACACATCTGGGAGAGCAATCCAAAAAGCAGAATCCTTCTTAATGTGAAAGTGGTTCTGGTCTATGTTATGCCTTACCTAAACCTAAATTTATATCATTTATAAGATGTTAGAGGGAAGCTGAAAGAATATACTGTACCTCTCCTTCTAGTATTTGGGTGGCCACATCCCTGCCAGTCTTGGCAGGAATGAAGAGTGGTGTCGGTGGTTTGTCCAAAAACGCATCTGTTTGGCATTCCATATCAACTTCTATTACACGATCAGCAATTTCTTCAAGGTACAATTCTAAGAAGAATACCATATACACTAAATTTGAAATTCTGGTACATTTCAAGCATACATATATATTTGAAACTTTATCTCCTTCAAAACAGAATTAAATGGTTTAGAAAATAAGTCCTGGAATGAAAGTGCCAATGTGGGCTTTGATTTACACACTGGATTAAGAGTTTTATGTATCTGGAAGATCATAGAGTCAGTAAGGCTGGACTATTTACAAGTACTAGGTAATGGAATTGAAGAATATGAGACCACAGGTGTGTATAAGATGCAAAGTGTAATAGGGGATGGTGTGTTGATAAAGTGTAGGTGCAACTGAGTTCCTACACAGTCGATGTATAAAGATTTGAAAATTCCAAGATATTATAAATCATGAATCAAATCACCATGTTATTTAATGTTCTCTATCCTACAGATTACAAACACATGTATGAAAACAAATTTTAAGTTAGAAATAACTTATATGAAACAGGGACAATGTGGTACCATGTGAAGCACATGAGCACTAGCCAGAACACAGGACCTAGCCAAGATATATCTTCTGGATCCTCAGTTTCTTCATATGTAAAAGGAATCATAATTACTGTCATATGGAATCTCTGCAATAATAGAGGAGATCCACAGGTATGGGACTTGTGTAGTCCCTGAGGAAAAGGGGCTATTATATCACTTAATATTTTGGTGGTACAAACCAACACCTTATCTCTGCTACCATAGAATCTAGACTATATTGACTGATCACTGGTTCAAATCTAGGCCAGATTTGGCTTGGAGGTAGGGGGAAAAGTGTGAATGGATCTCTTCTTTTAATCTTTACTACAAAAACAATCTGAATGAATCTGCTCCCCATTTTGGCAGGGTACAAGATGAATCTTTAAGAAGTCACATTAGCCCAAGGAAGATGCCAGGTACTGTCAGATCACCAAGATACTGTTGACAGCCAAACCCTCTGGGTCCAGGTAACAGTGAGACAAGTAGAAAATCCTGGCACCTGCCTCAGAAGACCTGTGTGGCTCTGGAGGCAACGTAAAGTGAAGGGAGAAAAGAAGGAGACAGCAAAAGAGGCTGGTATGGAAGGCAGAGGATCAGATATGAGTGGGCTTCGTCTTCTCAAAAGATAGATAAAAGGCCAAGCAGGACTACATTGCTGTCCTATAGTATTAATTCCTCATGAAAAGAACTGTGATTCATGTTGGGCTAAGAGAAATAATCACAGGTTAAAATAAAATATGTGAAAAGGGCTAAGAGAGAATTAGTTTGATCATAAAACTTTTAAAAAAATTTTTTAGTTATAGATGGACACCATATCTTTAATTTATTTATTTATTTTTATGTTGTGCTGAGGATCGAATCCAGTGCCTCACACATGCAAGGCAAGCACTCCACCACTGAGCCACAACCCATCCCCTTTTTGTCTTAAAAAAATCCCAACCCACACTTCCACCCATGTCCAATATGATAATAGTACAGATATGTCTTTGCTTAACGAATGGGCTTCCTTACATCTGATTGGGAAGGACTGGTGAGCACAGAAGATACATACATGATATAAAGACCAAGTAAAAACGAACTGACACAGACCGCTAAGTGAACAAAGGAGCCCTGGTGTCAATGGCATGGTCACATACCTGTCTGCACATTCACGTGCTTCCTGCCTTCCACAGGTTCTGGTGTCCGTGGTCTGAGCTGCTCTTGGGCTCGTTTCCTGGCAAGAGCCCTCCTTTTAGCTGCCTGTGCTCTCTGAAGCTCTAGAGGATCAGTCTGCCCAGACTGGGAGAGAAAGAAAAAGCTTCTAAAAGTTAGAAAATACCTCTCAAGGCATTCCAAAAGTGATTCCTAGGCTGAGGCAGGATGCTTCTAAGTTCAAGGGCAGCTTGAGCAATTTAGCAAGACCCTATTTTGCAAAGAAAAAAAAAAGGTGAGGGTGGTGTGGGGTGGTGTGGGGAGCTGGAGATGTATGTAGTTCAGTGGTGGAGCACTTCTGAATCAATACATAGTACCAAGTCAAACCAAACCAAACCAAACCAAAAAATGAAAGTGATTTCTGCATAGTATAAAAAGCATGCATCCCATAATAGTGCTTCTTGATTATCAGTGACTTGATAATGAAGATTTTTATTGTTACTTTGTTGAGTAATACACCTTTCAAAAAAGGTATCTGACAAAGCACAAAAGGACCTTCCAAGTCTGCCTGCTAACTAGAACAAATGGGTGCAGAATCCTGTGGAATAACACACCTTTCCTTGGGTGCTCCATAAAACTGATTTAACTATTCTTGTTACAATAAATTTTAATGTATGGTTAAGAAACTGAAAAGCACTATGATTTTTTAAAATCTAAATTTCGTTTGAACAGAATTTCCTTAAAAATTTCATTAGCTCACAAAGAAAACATTCTAAGTCCAAATGAAGTCTCTCCAGGTGAACAAGTGGATTAATTGCTCCCAGCAGTTCGGCACCTCCAGTGGTAACATGGCTCTCTTTTTTCTTTATTTGTCCTGTATTGTCTTTATTTGTTTTAGGTAACAGGGTGATAATTTTAGGTAGTAGTAATGAGCAGTGAATTGTGAACCAAGAACCTAGCAGGATCACAGGGTTTACTTGAATTGCCTTTAATAAACAATTAAGTAACTTATAGAACAACAATGGGTACACTAATACTGAGAATAAACAGGTAGAAACAAAAGGAGCCAGTTAAGAAATTATCAAGAAAGATCATTGAGACTAACTCCAACAGGTTCTACTGAAGTCACTGTAAAGTTAGGATTTATGCCATAGGTTTCTTGTGTATTTCAAAGGGAAATTTCATTAAAGCTCAGGGGCGCTAAGTCTACCCAGTCACTGAACCCAGCATCAGCACTGACATAGGATTGACTTGTAGATGAAGACCCCCCCTGAATGGGATGGTAACCATGACCATTCCCATGAGGACCAATGTCAAAAACTCCCAGGTGGGAGGAGTCAAAAATGTGATTGGTATAGACTGCAGGCGGTGGAACCCCGTTCTCCTGGCAAACACCAAACAGCAATAAATTTGGAAGTAGCCTGTTTCCTTCCTTGTTCTCTGCCTGGAGACAACCCATTCTCTCCCACAGTCATTCTCTGTTTGAGCCAGACTTTACTTTCACTCATAATAGAATTCTCTTGCTTTGCTTTTCATGTCTGACTTTAAACTTTCTTTTGTTGGGACGCAAGGCCAAAGGTTTGGAACTTCATCTCTCTACTCTCCTGTGACAATAACGCTGGCCTCATAGAACAAGTTGAGAAATGCTCCTTTCTCTCTTATTTCCTGGAAGAGATTGTTTAGAATTGTTGCTAATTCTTCTTTCAATGCTTGGAAGAATTCTCTAGTGAGACTATCTGGACCTGAAGATTTCTTTTTTCTTTTTAGATATGAAATTGTTTTTAAATATGAAATTGTTTCTTTAGGAGTTATGAGAATTCAGAAGTTCTATTTCACGTTAGTGAATTTTGTAGTTTGAGGAACTGGTCCTTTTCATCTATGTTGCTGAATTTACATGTGTATATTTGTTTGTATTTGTAATACTGTGGTTCATTTAAAATAATATATTTGGTCTTTAATCTTCATTTCTTGGCATATAACTCCTAAACCTTTGGAATTTCTGGAGTGATAAGAATATCTTTTGTATGCTAATGAAATGGGTGGTGAATAAAGGTCCCTAAATAGCTTCAGGATGGCGTTGGTCACCAGAAAGACCAATGTGGCATTAGAGTGTTGGAACTTTCTGCTTCACCCTTCAATCCCAGGGAAGAAGAGAGAGGCTGAAGGTTAAATAGATCACCAATGCCCCATGATGTAATCAGTCATACCTACATAATGAAGCATCCATAAAACCCCAAGGGAGCAGGGTTCAGATGGGCTTCCTGATAGCTGAACAAGTGAGGTTCCAGGACAGTGGCACACAGGAGAGGGTATGGAAGCTCTGTACCCCTTCTCATGCACCTTGCCCTGTGAATCTCTTCCAGTCAGGCTGCTCAACTGTATCCTTTGCAATACCCTTTATAATAAACCAGTAAGTGTAACAGAGTGATTCTCTGAGTTTCTGATTCTCTGAGTTTTGAGTGGCAATAACAAATTAATCAAACTCAAGGAGAGGGTCAGGGGAATCTTAATTCATAGCAATTGGTCAGAAGTACAGGCCACAACCTGTGCTTGAGATTGGCATTTGAAGGGGAGGCCGCCCTGTGGGACTGAGCCTTAACCTATTGAATCTGATGCAATCCTCAGAGGGATAGTTTTGGAATTTGGTGGAAGTAGAGGACACTCTGCAAAATGTGGAGAATTACTTGGTTGATGTGTGTAGAAATCCACACCCATCCACCCCAGACATATCTGTGTAACAACAGCTCACTGGGGAAGCTGTTCTTAGAATTATTGGCCTACCTAATCCTTAAGGTCCCATCCCTTTCTCTGGTATTCTAAATTCTAAAGAAAGGCCTCTGTAACGCACTGCCCCCTTCTTCAGTTCCATGGTACACAGTATTTGTTGTATTATCCACTATGGGTAAAGCATATGGATTAACTTGCAGAAAAGAAATATGTCTGTCTGAAAAGAAAATGCAGGTGCTGATCCCAGGAGGTCAAGGTCCATTGTTGCTAAATTCTGGGAAGGAAGAAAAGGAGACCTGCTCCTCTAGAGAGGTATGGATTTCTTGTCCATTGTCTTGCTGTACCGCTTTTTCTCCTATAAAAGGTCTTTGTGCTTTGAAGCCCTCTAAGATAGAGACTTGAGACAAAAAGCCCCCTCTATTTTCTTCAGGGCCAGCTTTCAATAAAAAGAATTCTTTCCACCAACTTCTGCTCCCAAATATTTGGTCACTCAGAGCAGTGGGCAGTATGGATATTCAATTCCAGTAACATTTGGGGCCACAGAAGTAAAGCACTGTGTTGAGCATGAGAGGAGATAGTAGACAAAAGCACTTTTGAATACCATTATCATCCTTTCAATCTTTCAACGGCTACAGTACCTGTAGTTACATCCTCTGATATTCATTATTAATATTTGCAATTTATGTTTTCTCTCCTGTCAGTCTTTAGAGGTTCATCAATGTTATTGATCTTTTCAGAGAACCAACTTTGGTTTCACTGATTTTTCACTGTTGTTTATGATTTTGGCTTTTATCTTTTATTTTCCTCCTTCTCCTACTCTGGGTTTATTTTGTTCTTTTTATCTAGTTTATTGAGGTAGGAACTTAATTATTGATTCAAAGCCTTTCTTCTTTCCCTCTTGGCACTGTTTTGCCTCCATCCCATAAATTTTGATGTGCTATATTTTTTTCAGTTATAAGTGTTCTTTTAAATTTTCCTTTGACATTCTTCTTTAACCTATGGATTATTCAGAAATCTGTTTTACTTTCTGGTTGTTTTCCTGTTTTTAAGCATCTTCCTGTTATCTTCTGTTTCTGATTTCTAGTTTTTCTGTTATGGTCAGAGAAGCATACTCTGTGTGATTTTAGTTCTCTCACAGGTGTTCATGGGGCATATGGTAGATATGTCATGCAGCTATTGCCGGGTGCTTGAGAGCCATTCATATTCTGCTGTTCACATTTACAGAACATCTTCCTGACTGCTATGACCTGTTGATTGGTTGATGATATTGTCCAATCTCCAATAATCTTGCTGTTTTTTTTCTAAGAGAAACTAAAATTGTGGATATCTGTATTTCTCTTTTCAGTTCTATTAGTTTTTACTGAATGTATTTCAAACATACATCTTGTTTTGAGACATCCAAATTTAGGACTGCTACATCATCTTGGTTTAATTGTGTTCCTTTTATCATTCTATAATGTCTTTGTCTTTCATAGTCTTGTTTGCTCTGAAGTATGCTTTCTCTGATGCTAATATAGCCACAACTATCACCAGAGGAGGTCTGAGGAGTTCCTGGAGAGGGGGACCACAATTCAGGATGAGTAGGGTTCTTGACAAAATCACAGAAATGAATTTAAGAACACATCAGTTAGAGACACACAGATTTATTATGAAAGCAGAGACAGTTTCAAGAGAGAACGCAAACCATCTAGAGGTTCTTAGTCTCTTATTTTAAAGGAGACTTGGTTCTAGGAACTTGGGAGGTTATGTTGGGATGACATCAGTCTGGTATCACAAGATGATTCATGGCGGTCCGGCAATTCTGAGGATGTTAGGCTGATGTGGTCTCTATTATCTGGTTAGTAGATAACATTAGAAAGTGTCATATATCATAGATATCATAAATGTCTCCTTTTGCCCAATCTGTTTTAAAATACATGTATTAGTGGACTAATTTACAGCACACAGGGCAATTTTCATAAACAGGTGAATTTCCAGTAACTTTAAGATTGTGAGTGAAGATTTTGGGGAAATTTGGGCAAGGGAGCAACAAGCAACAGAACTGGCTTAGGAATGATGGTCCAAAACCTGAAGGACTTCAGCACAAAGTTTCTAGAGTTAAGTTTTACTTTCTTGTCTTTCCTTTTGTCTTTTGTACCTATTTTTAATTTCTTTTCTATGATTCTTCAAACTACCTTTTCAAAATTCATGTTTTCATGATGTATCTTCCATCCTTTTGCCTTCAGTCAACTTAAAACGTCAGAATTGAAATGATAATTCTTACAGACCCATATAGGTAGGTCACTATTTTTTCCCTCTGCCAACTTTTATCTTTTAATTATTTAGACTATTTACATTTAAAGTAATTACTGATATATTAGGGCTTAGTCTGCCATCTTACTTTTTGTTTTCTGTTTGTTCTTGTTTTTCATCTCTCTTTTAATGAACATAGGCCTCACTATTCACACAGATGTGGGAGACCAACCTTGCATGTGACTGAGTCACTTCCTGGCTGAGTGATTGAGGGTTGGGTAGCAGAAATGCCACTAGACTGCCCCACCTTTCTTGGGTTCTTGGGACAGTGTCTTCGTGCATGGGCGTGTCATCCTACAGCCCCATGGGTGGAGCTAAGCTCACCTGCTGTTCCTTTGTAATATTACCCCTTGCCCTGTTTGGGATAGAATGTTTCATGGAAATGCTTTTTGTGTGATCCCTTATCTTACTGTGCCCTTGGGTGTGGTCTACCTAGATGTCAGTCAACCTGTTGACAGCAGACATCTTGAAGCTAGCTAGACTCAGCCCCCTGAAACCTGACCCTTTGCCTCATTTGAATAGCTTCTCCTCAATAAAAGGGGTCAGCATGTTCTCTCTCTTTCTGCAGACCCTTAAGGTCAGAGGAGCAACCCCAAAGGAAAAGGTATTTCTGTCCTTGTGTGGTTATTTTGCGCAGCCCAATCAGCCCAGTTCCCCTGGAGTGACCCCTGAGTGTTTTAGCCACGAGCAACCAAGCAATTGGCGTCCCTGGGCGGACAAAAGGTCTGAATGCTTAAGCTCCCAGGACAAAAGCCGCACACAGAAATTGTATGCAACTTTATTTTATTTGCAGGGCTGGGGATCACAACTAGGACTTTGCACATGTGAGACAAGCACTCTACCACTGAGCTACAACCTCACCCTCATTTCTGTATATTCTTTTTCCTGCCTTCCTGTGGGCATGGTGAGTACATATAATTTTATTTTGCCTTGGCATCCAAATTTTTTTTTGTGTATGTGTTTGCCAAAATCCAGGAATGAATTGGTGCCCCGTTTTAATTATAATTTTCTTATACCTGAAGCAGTGCTCAATCACCCTGAGATAGATGAACTCTCAGGGAGAGAGAAGAGACCTTTAGAGGAGGGAGGGAGAGCCACATTTATGAGCATGACCAGTCATGCTTGTCTCTTTAGTTAAGTAGACAAAACCTCCAGCATATTCTTGTACCAGATCAACTAGAACAAAAACAATCTATTTAAATGTCACCAGATTCAAGGACCTATACAATGTTCCCAGAATTGATTTATGGCTAGACTGCTTAACCACGAAGAGACATTGTGAACCTCAAGTATGAACTGATTGAGATAAGATTCAATTTTCACAAAAGCTTGCCTGGGAACCTGTACTTTTCTTCCTAGAAAAATCCCATATGTAGTCAGGGGACTGGACCCTGGTTGTGTCATTAGCCTTCTATCCTCTGTGAGTCAAGGAGCACCTGCACCTGCTGCTGGTGTGTGTTGGGGTCTGTTTATCTTTGCTTTGCTGTCTTTTAATAAACATTTGCTTGTGCCTTGTTTTCCATGTGTCCTGAAATTAATTTCAGTGGCACAAGAACCTGTCCATGCCCAATTTACCTCTCACTGTCCACTTGGAGGGCCCTCCTTGGACCCCTGTCCAGTGACAAACCTTGGTACAATGTCTAACATTATAACCTACCTGAATGGTTCCATCCAGTGACTAGAGATAAACTTAGAGGCATCTCTCCTGTCTAGCTGGCAAGGGAAGGGAGACTCCCTACTTTCCTGCTGCTTTACTTAAACAGACCATTCAAACATTTGCCCTGAATTTAAAGTGACCAGCTCTTAGTCACAGCATGACCTACTGGAATTAGTGGCTTAAACCCATCAACTAAAATGCTCTAAACTGATTAATTAAAGCTCCCCTTGGGAAAACTGTTTGGATAATGCCCTGGACCCCATAAAGGCACTGGCCTGCTAGGCATGGTGGTATAAGCCTGTATTCCAGCTACTTGGGAGACGGAGGCAGGAGGATTGCAAGTTTGAGGTAATCATGGGCAACGATTTAAAAAGGGTTCTGGGGATGTAGCTTAGTGGTAGTGTCCCTGGGTTCAATCTTCACTACTGAGGGAGATCAAAAAGGAAGTATAGGTATAAGGGCCCTTTCTCTTTCTCTTTCCCTCTGTGTGTACAGACATACAGTGCTGACTTTCCAGGGGTTTTAAACTTTCATTTGTGGTTGTGTCACTGAAGCTGTGCCTGCAGTCCAACCTTGATGGTGAGGCTGTCCAAAGAGACTCATGCAGGTGGATCTTGTGTGTCTGGTGGATGTTAAATTGATAGAGAAACTCAGAGTATCATTCGAACATGTAAACATTTTTATAATTCCATTTTGATTTATTTGGAAAAATTTTAAATGTATATCTGTGTATTTTTTAATGACTCTTCCAGGTATTACAATACATGTGTAACATATAAGTCTATCAACATTTTACGACTTCAAGTGAAGTATAGAAACCTTACTTCCCTTTACTACCCCCATTTAAAATCCTTTTATTATCCCCACTTTAAAATATAATTATATATAATTAAAAATGTAATCATCTTAAATATTTCATCTATGTATTTTAAGCACTACATCAGTTAATGTTATAATTCTGCTTGAACCATCAAACATAATTTTAAAAATCATAAGAAAGAAATTGTTACATTTACCCCTATTTTTACCTACAATTTTGTTCCTTCTTCCCTTCGGAAGTCCCAAGCCTCCTGCTGTAACCATTTCTTTTCTGTTAGGGAAATTCCTGTAGATATTCTTTAAGGGTAGGTCGGCTTATGACAAATTTTTAGTCCTTCATCTAAGAATGTCTTGGGTAAGAATATTTTCACTGGATTAGAATTGGGGCTTGGTAGTCCTCTGCTCTCAGGATTGAAAAATACTGTGTCACTCCCTCTGGCCTCCATGTCCAGATGGAAACTGCAGTGTCATTCAACCAGTGTTCCTCTTTAGTCAACATGCCATTCCTCCCAAGAGTTTTTGTTTCAGTTTTCAGAAATTTGATGTGTCAATTTCTTTGGGTTTATCACTGAGGCTCACTTAGCTTTTTGTATCTGTAGGCATTTTGTTAAATTTGTGGAGTTTTCAAGCATTTTATCTTCCAACATTTTTTCATCCCACACTGTTCCTCCTCTCCTAGAAATTTGACAACATGAATGTAGTTTTTTTTTTTTAAATCATTCTTCAGATCCCAAAGTTTCTCTCTTTCTCTATCTTTCTTTTTCTTTCTTTCTTTAAGTTATAAAATAAACCTTTTATTTCCCCTGCTATATAAACTCAATACATAATAAAATGTCAGCAGAACGTTCTCTATATAATTTTGTATTTCATTATCTAAATGCAATAGCATATAATAAATTCTGGTCTAAAAAATAATAGTGATGTGATAGCTTGCGAAATTCTGTGATGGTAGTTAATAGCACTTAGTTTGCACTTTAAATGGTCAGAATGATAAATTTTGTTACAAATATTTACCATACACACACACACACACACACACACACACACAAGACCATCCCTATCTCAGGCAGAGGAGCTTTGGAGTGTGAAGAGCCTGGGTTTTGCTTTGAATCCCCCATCTAACTGAGTATGGGGATCATTCCTAGCTACTGGGTGGGGTGCTGAGATCAGGGAAACCCAAATTTCAGGCCAGTCTGGGCAATTTAGCAAGGCCCTGTCTCTGACTCAATAAAAACTAAAAAGGACTGGGGATGCAGCTCAGTGGTAGAGCACCCCCCTGGGTAACAAAAACAAAACAAAAAAACATCCAAATTCAGGGGCTGGGAACGAAGCTCACTGTGTAGCATGTTCTCAGCACGTGCGTGCGAGGTCCTGGTCTAAGCCTCAGGACTGAAAAAAAAATCTCCTTGAAAGGCTTGGTGTAGCTCAGTGGTACGGTGCTTGCCTAGCACATGTGAGGCTCTGGGTTCAATCCCCAGCACCAATGAAGACTCCAGATTCAGCCAGGTGCTGTGGCACATACCAGTAATGCCAACATTCAGGTGACTGAAGCAAGAAGATCATGTGAGCCCAGGAATTCAAGACCATCTGGCATAGCACAGTAAAACCCCATCTCAAAAACCAACCTACCAACAACAACAACAAAACCAAAAACAACAAATTCAAGGGCTGCCTTTCTTTTTGGAGTATGTTTTCTCTTTGTTAAACTGGGTAATTTCTGTTGATTTGTCTTTGAGTGCTACCTGTCCTTCAGCACAGTTTGAGAGCTCTGAGTTACAATACACAAATCGTGCTTACCAGCGGCCCTGTGTGAAGTGCGTAAGTGTTGCCTCGGATCACCCTTCTGTCATACATTATGTTTCCATACCGCATAGGTTCTTCTTCTCTGTAAAACAGCAAATTCTAAATAAGTATTTTAATAGAGTGTTGATGTCTATGAAATAAATTCACTGTCAACAGTATTTAGACTAAGATAAAAACATTTTAAGAAAACAGATTTCTGTTTTACTATGGCCCATAAAAAAGGAGACAAATGGCTGCCATTTATATAGAGCTTACTATATGCCTGATTCTTTCATATGTACTATTTTATTTATTGCTCACAATAAGCTTCAAGTTGGGAACTATGATTCTATCTGACAGGAGAGGAAACAGAAAGGAATCTGCCCAAGGTCACCTTGCTAGTAAATGGCAGAGCTAGCTTCAGTTGTAAATCTGTAAGACTACTTAACAAATGTGAAAATGGCCCATCTGAAAAAGAGCCTGCTCTGAAGAACTAAAAAAAGTTTGATTTGAGGACTGAAAAGTTACATGTATAAAAGAATTTGGGGGCTGAGGATGTGGCTCAAGCGGTAGCACGCTTGCCTGGAGTGCGTGCGGCCCGGGTTCGATCCTCAGCACCATATACAAACAAAGATGTGGTGTCCGCCGAAAACTGAAAAATAAATATTAAAAAAAAAAAAATTCTCTCTCTCTCTCTCTCTCTCTGTTAAAAAAAAAATTTTGGATTTTAAAAAAAGTCCAATTTCACATTATTCTTTTAACCTAAAGATATTTTTTAAAGGTATGGTTTAAAATTAATACAATTTTAATCTCAGGGGTCGGAATGATCACTAGTAAGAAATATGAATACACAGTGGGTATTTTCATCAGAAGTTCTTTAAATGATGTCCTATTTCTTCTCTGGCTGCTCTTTTTCAACCTTTGTTTGCAGCTCTTTCTGGTCTGGAGGATTTCATCAGGGCTCTGCTTTCTCTTGTCCTTAGATGACCTCTTCCATTGGCAGTTTCTGTTATGACCAATATACTAACTTTATTTTTAGCTCAAAACTCTTCCTTTCCAACTTGTAAATTACTTGAGTGTTACTTCAGCTCAGCTGGCCACTCTTTCAGGGAAGGAGCAAAGTCCCAAAGAATTTACATAGTTGTTAACATGGTTTACCTTGGGGTAGGGGTGAGTGAGCAGGCTGCAAGGGAAGTGGGGTGAGGTATCAGATTGTCCTAATAATGCCCTCAAGCATGAGTGTGAGTCCATTTATATATAATTAAATATGTATGTGCATGTATACATAAGAAAATAGGGCAGATAAAATAGGGGGAAAAAGGAATTAGAAATTGTTGAATAATGGGAAAGGCCAATTGCATAATAATATATGCTGGTATGACTTTATTTCAGAAATGAAGCCTCTTCCATATATACATATGTGCTCATTTATGTGTGTACAAAAAGAAGAAAAAAGACTGTTAGGTTTGGTTAAAGCAGGGAAATAGGAGTAGAGGCAGGCAGGAGATGATTAACTGTTTTTATTTATCTGTATTTTTATTTTTTCATTTGCTTCAAGAAACATATATTACTTTTATAAATTAAAAACCATCAATAAAGATAATTTTAAATGGAAAACATGTGCTCTCTTTTCTCTCTCTCTCCCTCTCCTTCCAATAGCCTATAATATAACTAAAATAAAGACTGTTATGGTTTTGACGTGCCTGTGTTTCTGTAGGAACATTCAGCGGTGAAATGACTGAACTGTAAGAGTTGTAATCTAATAAGTCCATCCTAGTTTGAATGGACTGGGTGGTAACTGCAATTGTGAGAGGGCTGGAGGTGGGCCACTATGGGCATGCCCTGGAAGGGTCCCTCTTTGCTGTGGCCTCTTTAGCTCTCTGCTCTTTGCTTCTTGTCCCCACCATGAGTTGAGCAGCTCTCCTCCATTGGGCCCTTCCTGCCTGACAGGCTGCCTCTCCTCAGGCCCAGAGCAATGGATTTAGCTGTCTTGGACTAAGACTTCTGAAGCCATGAACCCCAAATAAACTTTTCCTCCTCTAAGTCATTCATGTCACGTATTTTGGTCCCAGCTATGAAAAAGCTAACTAAAACAGAAATTGGTACTGAGAAGTGAGTTGTTGCTGTGACTAATTTGGCCATATGGTTCAGAAGTCTTTGGAAATGATTTGCAGGAGAAATTTTGAAAAGTTTAGAGATGCAAGTTGAAAGAGCTTTAGAATGCTGTAAGCAGAGTTTAATGGGTGATTCTAGTGTAAGCTCAGAAGACCAGAATGGTGACAGAATGCGGACTGTGCCTATGAGGTTTCAGATGGAAATGACGACTCCATTGGGAACTGGACTAGATATTATACTCTGGCAAAGAACTTGACTACATTTTGCCCATGTTTTTAGACTTTGTGTGAGGCTGAATTTAAAAGTGATGGGCTAATTAATCTGGTGCAGGAAATTTCAAGGCAGCACAGCATTCAGCACAACATCTGCTGGATGTTGCCAGCAGATTTTCGTCAGATTTACTGTGAGAATAAGGAGCAGAAAGCAGGGCTGAAGTATTTTAAAAACTTGTTAGGCCAGAAAAGTATGAGTAAAGCTGGGGCCAAGAAAGCTGTGCTTAATGAAGATATTATAGTCCCTAAAGAGATGCCAAGTACTTTACACAAGATAATAGGAAAGAGCATCTCAGAAATTTGCTCACCCATACCCACAACAGGCTCCTGGGCACAGGAGAGAAAATTCTTTTAAGAGATCATGGGCGTGCCCTGCTTATATAAGGGGTCTTGGGAAACTGTTTCACCATGATGAACTGCACAGGCACTCAGAGGTCACTGCAGCCATTCTTCCTGGTGGTGTAGGTACTGTGTGAGCTGGTGACAGATTTCAGCATCATTCACATGGTATAGGTTCTGCAGGAATGCAGTTGCTGGAGTTAGGGGGTCACGGAAGCTTCCATGGGAATTTCAAAGGAAGGCCCAGGAGGCCAGGCAAAGTGTATCAGCGTTAGAGTCCTTGTGGGCCACTCCTGAGAGGGCAACACATGAAGCTGTGAAGATGAAGCTGGAATGGAAATCTTTGGAATTAAGAGTTCCAATAACATGGACCATCTGTGGAGAAAAGCTGTTGGCTGCAGAGATCCAGGCTAAAAGAAAGCCCATGTGCCCTTCAACTGGCAAGGCCAAAGGAGCAGGGGGGATACTTAACCCCTTTGGAAATAAAATATCATAGCCATGTGTCCTAGATGCTGTATGTGGAGTTATTGGACCTGTTCACCCAGCTGGGTTTTGGTCCTGTTTTGGCCTTTCTATGATCCTATTCCTCCCTTTTGGGGTAGGAATGTTTGCACTGTTACACTGTACATGGATATATGTAACTTTCTCTTGATTTTTGCAGGGGCTCACAACAAAGAGTTTGCCCTGAGTTTCAGATGAGACTTTGGAGGTGGACTCTTGGGCAATGCTAAAACTGTTAAGACTGTGGAACACTTGGAGATGAACTAAATGCATTTTGTACTGTGAGACGGATATGAGCTTTTGGGAGTAAGAGGCAGAATGTTAGGGTTTTAGGTATTAGGTGTCCCCTCAAAATTCCTCTGTTAATGCAGAAATATCCAGAGGTGAAATGACTGAATGGTGAGAGTTGTAACCTAGTAAGTCCATCTTAGTTTGAATGGACTGGGTGGTAACTATAGGCAGATGGGGTCTGGCTGGAGGACATAAGTCTCTAGGGGTATGCCCTGGAAGGATGCATCTTCCACATGGCTCCTCCCTCCGCCCTACTTCCTGACCCTGACATGAGGGGAGCAGCTTTCCTCCACGGGGCTGTTCCTCCATGATGAGCTGCTTTACTCTGGGCCTAGAGCAATGGACTCTGAATCATCTATGAACTGAGGCCTCTGAAACTGTAAGCCCCAATTAAACTTTTCCTCCTCTAAGTTCATGTCAGGTATTTACAGAGATGAAAAAGTTAACTAAAACAAAGACCAAGCCTGAATGTGGTGTATCTAGCTCCTGTTGCTCTCCTATAGGTCTGTTTCTTCCCTGGTCACATTGACTTTATAAGGTCCTCAAACAAACCAGACTCATTTCCTATGAGGGGTTCTATACATGCTATTTCTTCTTCCTGGAAACTATCCCTCCCCTTCCTCTTGTCCCCATCCTTTCCTATCTTCAGATCTTAACTTTAATGTCATATTCTCAAAAAGGCTCTTCTTGTCTCTCTATAGACATGTCCTTCTTCCCCTAGCTAGGGACCCTCTTGTATGTTCTCACTGCATGCTGTGTTTCTCTCTTCTTGTAATCATTGCACTAACACTTGTTTACTGCCCACTTGTCTTTGTCAGCATTTGGTTAGTCTCATGAAGTCCCAAGAAACAGAACTTTAAACCTATCCAATTAAGTTTCATATTTTGGTTTCAACCCAGTTATAAACCCAGTTGGATAATTTGTAACCTTAACTCACTTCAAGCCTATTAAGATATCCATTTCAGCTATGTGTCATCTGGAAAACTGAACGAATTGCCTAGTTCAACATAAAATTTTGAACAAAATAGGACTAAAGATTTTATGGAATAGAGACAAGAGTGACATAATAGCATACTCTTTTCAAATATGGTCATTTTGTCATTCACCAGCAAATTTAGCTAACAATATTCTTCTGGACACTTTCTCAATATTTTATTCATAAGGATATCATGTCAGCCTTATCCACAAGGATATCAATGATTAAGATCTGAAAGCAACTACTTACATGAAATTAAAATTTTACTGTGCTTTCTGCATTACTTTGATACATATTACTTCAATATATAAATCAACTAATTATAAAAAATAATCCCTAATAAACCAACATTGAGTCTCAGTCCTAATTTATTGGTTTGATTTACTAGTAATGATTCGTGAGAAATCAGTTAAATTCACCAGAAAGTGTTCTTGGAGTCATTTTTATATTGAATCCTTATATAACATCTATATCTCCCTTCAAATTAATGTTTTCTGTCTTAATTTTTCTCTTAAGTGATAGCAATCTTTACTGAAATCTTTGTCCTAAAAAAGATAATTATAAATTTAGACTCAGGGTATGAAATAAGTATCAAGAGTTGCATTGCTGATGCTCAATAGTGCATTCACGGTTTGTACTGAGTGCTTACTAGTGCTAGGAATAGTCCTAGATAAACAAAAGATGCAGATTCCTGCTTCCATGCAGCCTGCATTTGTGTGAAGTTCTGCTGATTCCAAAATTTGAGGCTTATGTAAACAATTTTAATAGAACTATAAGTTTAGGGTCTCTTCTATGTATGGTTGTTTGAATATTTGCAAAAATTCATCATAAATTTGCAGTTCTGCATATAAAGACAACCTAAGTCCTGCCCAAAGACTGGTGTGGGAAGGATTTTGTAAATGCTATCGTGTTTGTCACCCTTATACCTCAGTTTCCTCATTTGCATAATGAAGTTATGAAACCAATTTCACAGCACCGTGCATCCAAAAAATGTTTCACTTCACTTCCCCAGTGAAGTGTCTGGTACATGACTGACTCAACAAGCATTAGTTTGGGAAATAGGGAAATTCGTATTCGTGTTATGGATCGTGTCAGCAACTAGAGTCACTAAAGTAAACTAAGAGAGTCCACACATGTCCCTTTCGGCTTCACTGCTTCACACCACGGGAGTTACTCAGAAATTTTATTTTGGCAGAGTGCAAACGAAAGCAGCACGGACAGCTTTTGCCAGGGCGAAAGTGGTGATCAGACAGGGGCTGGTTTTGTCACTCACGGCTGCAACAGGTTGTCCCGGTAACGGCGGCGCTGGCAGGGCAGGACCCGGGGCCTGCTGGTGTAGGTGTAGGTGCCCATGGCCCCGGAGGTGCGGTCAGTCAGCGCGGAGGTCATGTCCGGGGTCGAGCTGCCCGGCTTTCGGTGAAGCAGGTGGGCGTTAGGGAGGCGACGGAGCCAGAGAGTTGCCGGTAGTGCCAAGAGCAGGAATTCCACGAGGCGAGGAGCGGCGGCGGGCCGGGAGGTGGGCGCGACGCGAGGCTGCCGGACCAGGAGGCGGGAGCTGCACTCGCTTGCTCCGGGTAGCGCAGAGCCAGTCGGCGGCGCCGGCTCCGGTTGCTCAGCAACCGGGGGTTCCGCTTGGGGGCGGGGTCTCCAGACAGTTCCGGCCGGCGGGTTTCCCGGGAAGGTCCACCGCTAGGGGCGTTTCCGGCTCTTGACTCCGCCCACGTGCGTCCCGTCGGCGCGCTGCGGACCCTGCGGCTCCAGGGGCGGGCACGGCGGCTTCGGCGGAGTCCGGGGGTGCCGCGGCAGGGGTTCGGGGCCGTTGTTGGGGTGCGGCGAAGCAGGGCTGGTGCCAGTGCCATTCTCGCGGGCCCACCTGCTCTTTCAGGGCCCTTCTCGGCCTTCTCCGGCGGCGCCCCGGCGCTCTCTGCAGCCCAGCGCCGACACGCCCTTGGCCGGCGCTCGGCTCTGTTACGTGTTGGGGCGGAGAGGGGCTTCCGGGCCTGCCCCCCGCGGGCCGCGCAGCGGGCGCTTCTCCCCGCCGGCCTTCGCTCGTGGTGGGTGCTCGGAGCGGCGAGGCCCCCGCAGACACAACGTTGGCCAGGGGGTGGGCGGGTGTGGGGTAGGAGAAACGCCCGGTTCCCGTCCCTTAGTCCGCCAGGCCCCGGGACACGTAGGGAGGGTCTGCGCCCCGAAACGCAGGTGCCTCGGGTTTAGCGCCAGCGATTAAAAATCTTGCGTCTCGGTGAATGCAGTCAGTGCAGCCCTCGTGGCCAGGATGCGTTTGGACTTCACCTTACACCTCGAGTGTATTAGCCCCGCAACACTCCGGGGAAGTTTAATGTCTTCCTTCATTTTCCTAATCTGCAAAGTGGGGAAAATCGGATTGGTTTCTTAGGATTCGATTTGAAGATTAAAAACATTGATGAAGGTAAACTACTCAGAACTGTGGCTGCTAGATGTCCGCTTTCCTCTCATTTGAAGTTTAAGGTCTAAAGATGTCAGCGTTGTTTGGCTAAAAGTGTATGGTAGGGGCTGGGGCTCAGTGGTACCTGTGAAGCACTGGGTTCGATCCTCAGCACCGCATAAAAATAAATAAAAAGGTATTGTGTCCATCTACAACTAAAAAAAATATTTAAAAAATCTCTATGGTAAATGCTAGAGGTAAAAACACTGCGAAGATTCTAGAGCCTATCACTTAATTTTGAGGAAATTTTGAAAGTATTAGAGGAGACAGACATTTAAATAACTGATCAGAGTGATAGTATTTTGAGTGATCAAGATCCTGGATGAAAGTGCCTTTAGATTGTCTTCATCAAACACTCAAAAGCCCAGGTGTACATGGAGAACTCTAAGTGGGATGTGTATAGATGAACTGTAAAGATATTGTAGAAAGAAAAGTTGGCACCATGTCATGGAAACGTTGAACATTAGCTTATGAGAAGGCTTTTGCCCTCATGGAACAGAATAACAATTCCAAGCAGTTGAAACAATAAAGACTTCATTATTTAACTTCGGTTCAGAGATAGAGTACCTCCCAAGTTGGTAACTTGGGGGTTCAGCACACAGTCAACTCGCTTTTCTCCACCTTTTTACTTTGTCACCTGGGTCATTGTTAACAAGATAGCAACAGAAGTACATAGACTAGAAAGCTGAAGAGTGCATATTCTGTCTTTATTGGAAGTGTGGAAAACTAACCTACAAACTACCAAGTAACTAGAGTTGCATCACATCATTGATAAAAGTTTAGGATCTATACAGGACTACCACATTTGAATTAGACTGGGGCCTCAATCTTGTGGGGTTTCTAAGAAGCACTTAGCCATGAGGAAGAGAAATTCTGCTAGGAGGATGTCGGGGCAAGGAACAATGGGTATTGAGTGCTATACCAATTTATGAAGAACTTGTTAGCCAGCCACTAAAGATTCTTTGGGATTTTATTTTTACTGAAGGACAAGGGTAAGGGACAGGGGTGGGTGGAGCAGTGTGATAGTAGATGAAGCTAGTAACCAAGTTGTTGTGCCTTGTTGAAGGTCAGGGCAAAGGCTTCAGCTTTTCCTCCTAGGCTAAGATGTTTTGAGTAGAAGCTTTATATAATTTGATTAAAATAAATCCCTTTTTTCTCTAGTTGAGAAACTTAAGTGGGGCCAAGGCAGTTCTCAGTTGGCCTGGCTGAATGGCTGGTTGGTTTGTTTTAGTCACCAGTGGAGGGTATGGTGAGAAGTGAAGATCTGTATCTTTTTTGTTGTTTTTTGTGGGGGCGTGGGGGTTTACCTGGACTTGCACTTAGGAGCACTCAATCACTGAGCCACATCGCCAGCCCTATTTTGTATTTTATTTAGAGACAGGGTCTCACTGAATTACTTACCACCTTGCTTTTGCTGAGGCTGGCTTTGAACTTGCAATCCTGCAGCCTCAGCCTCCCAAACCACTGGGATTATAGGCGTGTGCCACGGCGCCCGGCCTGGATTTGTTTTTAAGGTAGAAATATGGATTGGATTTGGGTACAAGAGAAAGAAAACCAAGATGACCTAACATGTTTAATTAAACGTTGGACATTGAATAGATAAAGCTGCAAAAGTTTTGGCTGAGGTTATCTTTCACCAGAGAGGTTTTATTTTATTCTGGCTGGAAGTTAAAGTAGAAGCAGATGATCTTTAACCAAGGATTCAGACTTTCTGAGGGCTGATCTTTCTTTGACTTGCCCTTATTCTAGAGCATCGGTTTTTCTGTCCTCTCTCAACAAGAAATCTGGGAATGTTTAACAGGTCCCCAGATTTGGGTGATCGTGAACTCCATTTTCTTTCTTTTTTTGTATTTCCAATTCTATGAGGTCGTTGAAAATTTAGGTCGTTAGCCATTTAGTGACCACTAGTTTCTTGTTTGCCAGTGCCATTTCAGCTTAGAATTAACTCTGATTTTTACCTCCCCAGGTGTGAAAGGCTCTTGACACCTGTAGGAGCTGCTTTCTGCTTTCCCTAAATGCCCTGCAAGAAACTCAGCAAATGTCCCAAGGAGAAAAAGCAATGGGAAAGTTCCTACCACTTTCTGTATTTCCTTTTTCCCTGGGATCCCAGTCCATCATATTCAAACCTATTGATTGCTCTTCAGAATCTTCAAATAACCTGTGTGGTTTGGTTGTGTTGTGTTTTGTCTGTTCCTGTTTTTCTTTTCAGGGAAATGTGCTCAGATTAAAGCTATTCAGTCATAGCTTGATCAGAGTAACTGGAAGAATGAATTGTCATTTACTGTTACAAGAAACACTGGAGAGGAAAGGGTTTTGGGGTGAGTGTTGGGCACATTAAGTTTTGAAGTTCAGTTTTGGTCACATTAAGCTTGAAAGGCACATTAGTCATTGAAGAGGAAATAATTGAGAAGAAGTTGGATATGGGAGTCTAGAGTTTCAGGAGACTAGTCCAGGATAGGGATAAGGATTTTTTGATTCAACAGCAGGTAGATGGCATTTAAAGCCATGAGACTTGAGATTATTAAGGGAATATAGATGAGAGATGAGCCATTGAGCTACTCTAGTGCTTACAGGTCGGGAAAATGAGGAATAACTGGCAAAGGAGGATTAAAGGGAGTTGCCACAGAGGCGAAGGAAGATGCAGAAAGACTGGTCACCTGGGATTCCGATGTGGATAGCGTTTCATAGAGAAGGGAGAAATCAGGCATGTCTGATCTAATTCTTGAGCCAAATAAGAAGAGAAACAGATCCAGCAACAGAGAGGTAGTTGATGATCTGTGGAGTTAAGAAGGAGAACAGTCAATTGCACTGGATTTAGAAGAGAGTGGGAGGAGAGGATTTTGTGATTTAAGGAGCTGGTAGCAAATTTCACCAAAGGAAAAGAAAGAAATGAGCTGTACCTAGAAGTAAATTGAGTCTAGAGAGGGTTTTGTATTTTTTAATGGCAAAATTGAGTATTGAATATGTTTATGGAGTGACTCAGTCCATGGAGCACAGTGGAGGATGTAGGAGAGAGAATTGGTGGAATGATGTAAGTGAGAAGAGATGGGCTTTTATGCACAAGTAGCGGGGTTGGCTTGCACAGAAACATGGACGGTTCATGTGTAGTAGAGAGAAAAGGTAAGTTGTGACCACAGATAATTCTCAAATTCCTTAATAATTAACAGGGCATACATAATTATATATGTAATTTCACTTAGTTATTATAATGACCTCATGAGGTAGAAATGACTCTCATTAGCTTATAAGAGAACTGAAGTTTAGAGAAGTTAAATAAATTCAGCAAACTCATGCATCAAGTGATAGAAGCAAGACTTAAACCCTTGTGTCTTTGATCCTAGCACCTTTGAGCTAGTGCATCAGCTTATCATGCTTGTGGTCTTCCTACCTCTGACCCTCCCATTTCTTCCCTCCTGCATTCTTCCTTGCTGCCCCCTCATTCTCCACATCCCAATAATCACAGGTCCTGTCTTTGTTACTTGTTCCTTGATTCTGAAATTATTCCTTTTGTATCCTTCCTAATCTCACCAGCCACTGACCTGTTCATTCCAACCCAGTGTATCCTATATTGGACCTCCGATGGAGGCTCAGAATGTTCCAGCTGAAATGCAGCAGTTCTCTCTTCTAGAATTTCCATACCTGAACTGCCTAATGAGTTTAGGTTCCTTAAGCCACGGCACAACCTGTCACTGCCTGGTTACTGCCTGTTTTCCTATCTCAAATCTTACTGGTTTCTTCCTTGGGCCTTTTCCTCAATAGAGCTGGGCCTTGAAATCCCACGTGATATTTCTACCTCAGTGTCTGTGTTTTTTGCTTTCTCCCTGTCCCTTCTCCCAAATATTTTCTACTCATATTTTAAATTCTCAGCTCCAGTTGTTTTCTCCGTAAAGACTTTCTGATTCCTCTAACTTGGATTCCTGTAGTCCCTGGCCATATTTCTGTCTTTTACTCACCATGTGTCATTTATAATGGTCTGTTAAACATGTTTGTCTCTACAGCAAGGATGGAGTTCCTTCTGGATAGGGATCCTGTCCTGCTCTGTCGATAGCCCTACCACATAGCTTCACATTAAATAGCAGAAGTGCACAGTTGACCCAGGGAAGAGGAGAGGGAGCATCTTTTCCTATTAGATGTGAAAAAAGTGAATGTGTTAAAAAAATATTTTAAATTATAGGTAG